CCGAGCAGCAGGCCCGCCGTGTCGCCCCGGACATTCTCCCACTAAAAGATGGCTGCTGGAGGATCAAAAAAAAAAAAGGAAAGAGGAGCAGCGCCGCCGCTTCGGGAGGAGGGGGGGGGGATAAAAGACCCGGAGAGGTGTGTTTCCGTTAACCGGAGCGAAGAGGTACGGTGTACCGTTTGGAGTCCTCACGTGAAGGCTGGTCTTGGCTGCTGGACTCGGTTTACATCCTCACTGTGGTGGTTCCCGTTTCCCAGCGCCGCACCAAGCCGCATATTGACATCCGGAAGTGACGTCACGGTGACGGAAATGCGCAACCGGGGGGAGGAGAAGCGCGCAGGGCTTTAAATGTATTTACTTTTCGTTTCTTTTTTAATCACGACATACAATGTGTTTCATTCAAACCGGATGTACTGTACATTTTGTAAATAAAGTAAAAACTAAAGACAGTTCGCTTTTAATATTAACTCAGTATATATATTATTAAAGTGAGTTTATTGTTTTTATTTTATGTAGACCGGGAGGAGAAGCGCGCAGGACTTTACATTTACTTAACTTTCGTTTTTTATCTCGACATACAACCCCTTTCCTTTCATTGAACCCGGATGTACTGTAAATACAGTTTTAATATTTAGTTTAAATAAATATACGTTTACGGAGACAGGGACTTTTTCAAACTCGCAAGTAAAACAAATATTTTTATGGATTTTTAAGCTTAGGTGAGGAATTGAGTTTGGACCAGAAATCAGTATTTGTAGCTCTTACCTTGAAAAAAAAAAATATCTCTGCACACCCAAATGTGTGGACAGGTGCTTTGAATGAGGGTGAAACTGAAAAGACACGCTTAAAGTTTCCACAAAGCGAGACAGTGTGGGAGCCTCTCATCGTCTTTACCCTTTTAAAAAAATAAGCAAATTAAAGCCTCCTGAACCGAAACAATCGAGCTAAACAAAGGCTGAAAAACCTGACAAAAAAACAGAAAGGATGCCACACAGATTGAAAGTTCTACCCAGAGCTTTATTAAACAAGTTCCCCCCAAAATACTGAAAGATATACAGAATAAAGCAAAGAAAGAGGGACTAGAGAGCCTGGACAATGACGAAGGGAAGGTGCTGAGCCAACTAAGCAATGGCACATCACTCCCAGCACATTGACTTAAAACTACGAGAGAACTATTCTGACCTACGAGAGAAAAGACTGAAACATGACTTCAGCCCAGATCAAGACAACACACTGCACACAGACTTTCTTTACAGGTACTTTCATACCTGTAAGCGCTGCCACAGGTTGGGTCACACCTCGCTTTGCAACATGCTTTAATGCAGATAAAGCAGTTTACATTTTTCTCTGCACTCATCAAGTTCAGGTGTACAGTTTTGTCCACAGGGGGGCGCCAAAACAGACAAACTGATAGTTCCTCACAGGAGCTTTAAACAATAGTTTCCTATGATGCTTTGAGGTTGCACCAACAGCATTTACATCATGGACACCAAAGTTATTAAATGCAAAGTAAATAAATCTAACATTTTAAACGTTACTCTTTAACTTAGAATTGAACCCTAAAAACTTTCCAACATGGTTAACTTTCTGAAACTCAAGGAACTGCAATCAAAGCAGGAACAAACACACCTGGATGTCCGATATCTGAAAGACAGTAAAGAAACAGTCAATGCATCAAATTAGTAATTATTCCTTCTCCAATATTAGTAACGTCCTCAGGTTAAATTCTTAAGCACAAAATAGGGAACTCAACATCTCTCTGCAGAGCTGCACATACAGAGTTTACACTCATGGAGGCCGTTCTCACTCAATGCAGACGAGTCACTCAACAGACTAAATTAGAGTTTCTCCGTTTGAGTCGGAGGTTCAGATTTAAGAGCACACTATCATAAACGGGCATTGAGTCAGAACGCACAGAAGTCGAGGAAGGAGACTTCAGATCTTCTGAATTTAAGTTAGTCTCTTCAAACAGAAGAAATAGAATAACTTCTCTTACTTGCAGAATTGTAGCTAAAAATCCTCAGGTAATAAATATGGACACACTCACCTTCCAACATCTCTGAACTGTCAGCCCATGTGAAGGTGAAAGCACTAGTACTTCTTCTCTAGTTTAAAGCATGGTAGCTCTCAAACTATGGTGTAGAACTGCCTCCATTAAAGAGTTAGAATGAGGGAGAGCAGCCTTTAAATACAGAGTGAGCAGGTGAACTTAATCAGACTAACGAGGCGTGAACGACCAATTAATGATGAGGGAAGGAGAGGTGAGCGAGAGAGAATCTTATCTATGAAATCTCAACCGATCTCTCTAGCTATGTCTTAAACCTTCAACCCAATCTGCTATCTGCAGAAATAACCATCAGGATGAAATTTAACTGGCAAGTTGTCACCTTAAGAACAAAAACCAGATTGTGTTCGGTACCAAATTGGGGTGATTTCTTGTTTTAAATCAACAGAATACAAACCAGAAAGAAAAGAAAAAAAAGACTCCTGCACACTGCTGCACACATGACGGCCTGTGCTTCCTCTGCTCTATTTAACGTAACCTTTACATCTCAATGAGGTGCCAAAAGGACTTGATAAATGTTGTTTGTTGTTAAATATTGTAACCTTGTCGAGTTCCAGTAGAGGCATATTACATAATAAATTGAGATGGATTTTACAGAATCCCTTAGGAGACGTGCATCTTTTTTAAAAACATTTAGCTGGACAGGAAATGTTGGGAGGGAGAGAGTGGAGGACGATATGCGCGGCCAGGTCGAAGGCCACGAGTTGATCCAGCGATCAGTAGGCTATTAGTGCCTTCACACCTGCAGAAAACTCCTGAAAAACTGCATGTGTGAACGATAACCGCCACATTTTTCACTCAGACTTTACCCGGAGTTTCTCCTGACAGACCCTGAGTTCTTTTTTTTTCAGCATCAAGTCCAAGTGAGCTGATGTGAGAACGCAGCAGGATTTAATCAGGAGAATTCAACTGGAGCCCATGGGAGGGGGGCGGGTACTATTCAACAGAAAATGACAGAAATTAAACTTTTATCACGTTGTATCCAATGTTGTAAGTCCAAGATAGCGATATGTGTCGTGTGTGTTAGACATGAAATATGGAGCTCCTTTGTTATGTTCAGTGGTGATTCTAGAGCCTGTTGGGGTCCAAGGAAAAAAATCACATGGGGGGTCCTCCTACCAACGTTCAGCAGGACATGAGTGCTGTCAAATGGGGCCACCTAAATAAAGTGTACCGCTACATGTCCTCTTAAGGCCTCCATACATTTTCCTTGTTGTCATTGGTTCTCTCTCTGGTGTAAATAATTAGGACTTTTAAAAAACATATCATTCAGTCCTGTCTGAATATTTATAGGTCAAGATTGATGTGTTTTCAAATAACAAATTTTATGTTCTGACCTTACTTCTTTCTGTGCGCGGGTTCTTCAGCCGCTTAGGTGGTCGCCTGGATGTGAGCAGCTGTTGTTGTCGTCCCTTTTATTGATCAAGTTGAGCGGTGTGCGTGAGTGATTCTGTCTCTTTTACAGGTTATACTGTTTTTCCTATTTACCTATGTGGTATGCTCATAACGATGTTTTTTTTTTCCATTTGTTGGTCTGGGAGGGTTGTTTACAGGGCGAAGGGATACTGGGTTTTTGAATGTTTCTGAGGAAAAAAGAAAAATGTTGACTGCATCCCAATTGCACTGTATGCTTTGAACTTGCTTTAATAAAAATATGTTGAAAAAAAAAAAAGTTTGATGTGTTTTCTGTGAACCATATACTCTGTGTCAGCTCGATCATGAGCGCAGCATCATGTAATTATTTATATACAACACATTCAGTCACCTTTATTTTCCTTCTTGAAGAGACAGTAGTCACTTACTTGCGATCCCATGTGCACGTGTGTGTTTTCCAGTTTTTTAGAATACATGCACATAGAATTAGGGCTGGGTAATATATCGAGTTTTTAAGATATATCGATATATTTTCGAGATAAATATAAGATATAGGGTAAGACAATATCGTTAATATGGATTTAGTTTATGTTGCATTAAAATAACGTTACAGAGGTGTCAGGTCACCTTTTCCTCATCTCACTGATGATGACTGTCTGCTCCTCCTCTCTCTCTCTTTTATTGTATTTAAGGAACATTTTTATTTTATTATATTACTACTTAAATTCACAAACAGGTAGTTTATTTTTTATGTGTTTTTTACTGTTAATAAAATAAATATCGATATCGAGTATCGCCATTCAGCTAAACAACATCAAGATGTGAGTTTTGGTCCATCCCAGCCCTACGTAGAATAAATATTTGTTAATGTATTTCTGTACAAGCCAATCTTAAAAAAAAAAAAAAGAGATCCTAATCTTCATAAGATAACCAGTTTTGAATATTGAGTTTTATTATTAATGTGTGATTGTTGCATTCTTTATTGCAGCTGTTGTAACCTGCTAACTGTCTGCACTCAGCAGCAAAGACATTAAGTTTTACATATAAAGACTTTTGCTGGTTGCAAAGCATTCCCTTCTCCCGCTTACTTCAGTCGACATCGACTCGATTTGAATCATGCCTGCAGACAAAATCTGAAGCACGTCATATGAAAGGTGCTGCATAAACAAATAAATAAACTTGACGTCATGCAAAAGACAATAAAGAGAACTTGACCCTGATTATATAAAAGGTGTTAAGGAGATAATGGGGCGGCTGTGGACCAGTTGGTAGAGTCGGTAGAGTCGGTCGTCTCTCAACTGGATGGTTGAGGGTTCGATCCCCAGGTCCTGCAGCAACATGTCCAATGTGTCCTCGGGGAAGACACTTAAATTCAAGTTGTTCCCTCTGTTGGACATGAATGTGGAGGTGTGACCTGCAGATTAAAAGCCCTTTGAGTCGTCAGAAAACAAGAAATTAAATATACAAGCTCAGCAGTGTGATCTATGTGCCTGACATCACCCCGCCCCACCCCGCCCCGCCCCCCCCTCACAGACTGCACACAGAGGACACCAAACTGTACAAAGGGTATAGAACAGTTTATTAAATTTAGACTTGTAAGAAGTCATCATATTCCAACGCGCTCCAGTCGCATGAAGCGCATTCATAATAACACCAACCCAAAAAAAGGATTGATCATCACATCGTGGAAACATAAATAAAGCAAATAAACATATTTACAATTCAACGTGGACGCAAGGGGGGGAGGGGGGGGGGAGTGGAGGGGGGGGTTTGTGCACGAGAACACGCGACTACATGTCGGGGACTGAGGCATCAGAGAACGAGAAGAGGGCGTGATGTTGACATGAGCGATCATCGAGGAGAAGGGATGAAAAACAAACTGTTTGATCACATGACAGGAAGGAAATGTTCATATTACACCGTTTGTTTCCTCTTTCCACTTCGTCAAACACACGTCTTTAGTGAACTTCTTTTAAACATTGGGACGTTAAGTCACCTCTTCCTACATTTTACAAACTTAAAAAAAAACGACTTCTGTCCCAATTAGTGGCTTGACTTCCTCCCCCCTCACACACGAGGATGTGTCCTCCTGTAAGACGAGGAGGGGACAAACAGCCTGGAGAGAGAATTTTTACACCGAGACTTTCTCGTCTTCTGAGCGGATGTCGATTCCACTTCGGACACACAGTCGAGACTCTACAGTAATCAAAAAACTCTGCAGCAGGATAATCCAAAAAAACTGCGCTTGTTAAAAAAGAGAGAAAAAGATCCTTTAGAAAAAGTACAATCAGTACATTTTAAAGCACGTTACAATTAGCAGTGTGTGTGTGTGTGTGTGTGTGGTTACACTCTCCCAGCACCTTCTTATGTACATGTGGAATAACATAACCAGCATCAGGCCCGGCCCCCCCCCCTGCAGAGAGGATTAATTAGTGTCCTCTTCTTTACTAAATGCTAGTTTCTCCTGCTTCACGGCGGCGGGCGGTTTGTGTCGCTTCCTTGGAAACATCATCAAGAAATGTGTGAGGTGAGTTATCAGTTACAGAAAAAAAAGTACACTTATCCGACCCTCAAATGGCACTCTGGTCCTGTGGCGTTCTCTCTGGTGCTTAAAGCAAGGGGGCACACCCAACGCTTCCCCCCCGAACATGAAAAACAAACACTGAGAATAATTTCAAACAGCCAGAAGAGGTGACACCACCATCATTGTGTCTCTGGAGGTCACACTGTAACATTCAGCTATCCGTTAATGGCAGAGCTCTCTCTCTCTCTCTCCCCCCCCCCACAGTATTTCACACTATCTTACAGTCGTTGGAAAAAAAAAGAGCCTTTTACAAGCAATGGGCGTCTTACACTATGTACATGAACTCACTTAAAAAACAAAAGAAGATATAAACAGATTTTTTCCCTCATTTATG